TAGAATAACGTATACACACGACAATAAAACAAATAAGTAAGTATATATATATATATATATATATATATATATATGTATATATATATGTCTATATTAGCGTAAATATGTATATATATAAATATATAAATATATAAAGAATTACAGAGACAAAAAAATAATATTCACCATACAACTTCGATTGATAATTACGAACACATTTTATAAGCATTGACATTAGGTGTGACCAAAATGAATTTTGTTACTGTATAGTACTGTCACATACGTACTCACACAAATTCTCCACTGCTCACTTACGAATCCATTTGGTAATGTCTTTTGAGCCTTGTTCAAGTATACGTAATTTTTGTTGTAGCTCGTTGTGTGATAAACCGCCATACTCGGTGCAAGTGAGAATAGGAAACAGTCCGAATTCCCATACCAGCTGGCGTTGAGTTTGAGAGGTTCCGATACGAAACCGCCGAACACGTATCCGTCCTGCATTACATCGTAGAACAATACGAATAAGGATAAAGAATATGGCACTCATGGTAAGAAATGTAATGATGTAGGAATATTTCGGCCCATTCTAGTATTGATATAGCATCCCAAGAAGGATTGGGTTAAATAGACAGCCGAACAATCCGCATCATACTTAGCGTGAGCTATTATCATATCATAGAAGATGTGCAGCACAACAACTAACGATGACTGATTGTTCCACTGTGTCGAGGGAGTGTCTTTATCAGACAGGTAGGTACATTGAACATCGATGCTGGGGAAGTTCGAATAGTGGACAACTGTGATGATAGAATAACTACAAATAAACTCTACAGCTTTTGTGATAGTGTAGAAGCGCTACACGTCGCAATGTACGAACATGTTGAAGCGCGTTCTCATAAAATGTCACTTCAAAGTGTGAGATCGAGAACGTGTAATGAGGGATTCCAGTTGTATACTTATACACGTTTGCAAACATATATATTCATAATTATAGTTTGAACTTTTTTTTTGCAAATAAATTAAATAAAACTCTTGAAACGCACACAAAAGTAAATATGATTTCGTATATGGTATATATGAAAGGTTGAACTAGATACACGATCAGCTTACTAACAATAAAATAAATGTGGTTGTATGTCATAGTATGCATGTGCGTATATGAATGCGTTTCTACATGTAACCGTGTACAAATGTTACTCTATAATCACACAATTCGTTCTGGTAACTCCTTGCATCTTGGTTATGCATGTTTGTGACCGATTATCTAAAGATCATTCACATTTGCCTCTAGATGCAACTTGTGCTACCGCGAGACTTTCATCAATCAGAACAGCGAGTTTTAAGTTTAAAATGAGATATGGATGGGGAACTGCAAGGAACGTTTACCGATTTGATGGGCTTTTTGACACTGTTCTTTTGATAAAACGATGCAAGCTATGGAAGGTCAAAGATACAAACGCATAATTCTCCACATACATTGAAATACGCACTAATGCCCGAAAACCGGAGAAACATACACACCAACCTTGTCTTTGATAATGAATACGATGGGGCTCACATCAAAGGAGTGTGCCATAAATTGCGCAAAGGCTTTGCCCATACTTTCTGAATCGTATAAAAGTTCCCATTCACTTGTCATATCCTTCGGTAGATGCGCATTGATGTACCAAATACCTGCCACAGATGCGTGTTTACAATGGAAGTCATTAGGCCACATCGAACATGGAAGTGGAACGTGATATTCATTGAAGGAACAGCTTCTTACGGAACTATGACTGGAAGGGACGATATAAATGTACTAGTTTACTTGTACGCAAAAAAATGTATCGCAGTTCGCATGCAGATAGTAGTGATGACAAAATCCACGTGATTTACAATCACGCATGCCCGATCACAAGGTGCACATTTATACGTTTATCGGTGAACGCAAATCACTGTCCCAAGTAAAAGTTTATGCCTTACATCTATACATATATGTAGTGACGCTAGTTTTAGCTGTGTCACTTTTTAAAATCAACAATTTAAGAAGTAAAGCTGAGAGTGGAAAAACATGTAAAGTATTAGTAATACTTATACGGAAGAAGGTTGCACCATTGGACACTAGCCAAGGATAGTTTGCATTGTTTAGTCGAGTAGGCTGCATACTACAATGCGTAAGTCAATTTGCTACACGCAGCACCCTCCCAAAACTTGGGTATATATTTAAAATTTGGCGCTCTTACAACCGTAGAAGCATACCTTCGCGTGTCATAAGTTTTGACCGGCTTTGACCGAATCCCTTAAGCTGTAATGGTGTAGGCCTAATGACCCGGGGCGAGAGCACATTATTCTCGAAGTAAACTCCACAGGTTCTTTGCAGCATATAGTAACGGACGCCAAATTCGAGAAGATTAGACACCACTGGATCACGCCTCATCCAAGTGGTGAAGGCTGCGAAGAGGTTCATGGGTTCGAGCGTGGCAGCATAAGCAGAGCGAGCTTTGCTAGTGTGTACAGAAGCATGTGCCTCTATGTTTTGAATAAAAATGCGCATGTTCGTTCGTATGCGATCTTTGATTTTCCCAAGAATATATATACTACATATGCCCAGACATTCTCAGAGGAGTACAGCGAGGTATAAATACGGGATCGATGTAAACCCAGTCGCACGTATACATGCAGATAATTTAGGTGCGTGCACATGTACATAATCATCGAGATTGGTAAGTGTTTGAATACGGAATTGCGTATGCTGGTATATATAAGATACATGAAAATACGTTGATTACATACGTATACATTCAACCGTAAGACATTAATCATATGGAAAATATCGTTGCATATTAGCAGTATAGATCATGAAACCAGTGGGTGCACAGATTGGCCAAGAATTATCAGTACAATTGTGAATAGGCCTATTAACTCTTACATACCATCAACTTCTATTGGCATAGCCAATCCCGTCATCAATGAAAAGACAAAATTCTGGTCAATATTCTCGTCGGCGTCAAGTTTCCCTTTTAGGTCTTTATCCACAGCAAACGCTGACTTGCACACACTAGTCAAGAAATTGACTAGTTTCTCACGAGTCAACGTCTTCTCGTCCCCACACGCCAGCCGGAAATAAGCACTTTGCCTGTGACTGGCGGACCCGCTAGCAAGTCTATGAAGGGTTACTATCCCTATGGTGTTGTAAATTTTCCGATATAACCAAGTATTGCAGGTCAACAAGTGGTGACGAATATGCATCTGATTCAAAAGAAAGATGCAGTATCGTAACAACAAGGCATACATAAAGTAGAGACAATCATATTAAACTGTATACATATGGTATCAGATTTGCTGACAGTATTCCTAAATTGACCATATCCTGATACAAAAAGTCCGGGGAATATGCTATAGCTTCTTGGATCTGTACATTCCCTACCACAATTTGTCACAAATAAGCAAACATCGAGTTCAAGCATTCAAATTGACAGGCATGCAATTTGATACGCACATGCGAACACTACACGAGAGACGGTCAAGCGCATCGACACAAGGTGCCTAATGCACGCAAACCTTGAATTTCTGCAAAAAAATAATTTGACTGGTTACTCAATAGCCAGAATCGCATGGTATTTGTCTGGCAAAGACTAGCGCAAAGCACAGTGGGTTTGCAGGGGCATACCATATTGTACTCCAGCATTTTGGTATGATATATACAATCAAAATTAGCAAATGGTATGATATATACAATCAAACATAGTAAATGGTATGATATATACAATCAAACATAGTAAATGGTATGATATATACAATCAAACATAGTAAAAGCGGACACGGATAAGTACCCCAGCTAAGAACGTGACAACCACGAAATCGTGCATTTTGCATTTACAATTTGCTTAGTTGGACGGGTATTCAAAAGTTGCAAACTATGGAGAGATGCAAGTACTCATCTTATAATGCAGAAGGCACGTAGAGCCAATTCAGACTCTTGTATCATCCCGTCTTGATATGTAAACCTGCTTTTACTTACAGCAGTGCATGGGTATCGTATTTGGAGTGTCGGGTATACCACGAACTCCATTTCGAACTGTCTCGAGCATGTCATCTGACCACTGCGGATATATATTCTGTTTTGTGAATAGTAGTACGTGGGTTCAGCCACTGAAAACCAATCTGCTTAACTTCATAGGTACATACAAGGGTCGTGTGTATATCGCCTATATCATCTTTTGTCTTCGAATATAGAAAGACATTCATGCGCTCGATATGTAGTAGAGTGAGTGAGTGCAAGTCCTCAGATACTTATAATAAGGAATGCAGTATATAAGAGCACTGGGGTATACTATATACATAGTAAGGTTAGTTTCGGCGTGTTCCACTACTATTTGTGCTGGATTGTCATGATATTGTAACACCAGCTTGACGTCCTTAGTGAGCAATGATACTCAGTTAAGTATTACACACTTTCGACGCAAAATCGAGTAGCGATCTATAACTTGCTAGCTACAGCAAACTCACGTACAATTGTAGTATGCATTAGCGAGAACTATTACACCAATATTGGAATACTCTTAGAATTCCGCACTACTCACGGTCCCTTTCAACTTGAGAGTGGAGGTTGTCTTGAAAAGGTAGACGTATGTACACAAGTCATCAGCAACGGTATCTACACACACATGCTTTCCGACCCAAATTTTTATCGTACATCGGCCACACTAATATGACCTCAAGGAACCTAACTATATGATGGTTTGCATATGTAAGAAATGTGAAGAGTACGCTACACCCACACTTCGATGTGTTTAGAATCAAAGCGTGCTAGCGTGATTCCTATAACCTGCCTATTCCTACGACCTACCTTGATAATCCTATAACCTACCTTGAGATCCTTCAGCTCCACATGATAATATTTATCCTCGTCCACCCCCAGGGCTGACTGAATGCACTTTACGGTCGCTAATCCCAGTGCATTCACAGCATTGGACACTTCTGGCGACTGCTTGCTCGCACTTCCACCCATTTTCGCACCACACTACTGGTCGTATAAGCGTTTCTTTTCAGGAATATGCCAGTGCAATGTACTTTTATGTAAGTTTATTTGTATGAGCCACGGATATCAAATTACAATACAGAACGTCAGAGTGTGTCACAAGACCATACACAGACTCAATCGCTCTTACTCAAATAGCCTCCCTCTTCTTTTGTGCCTTTATTCGTAGCCTTGTAAAAAGTCACTTTATTTATATTTTTAAAATTTAAGTGTATTATAAAATAATACGACACAGATAACAATCAGTCCATCACTTTCCAACTTTCAACACTTTCCAACTTTCAACACTTTCCAATCCCCGCCAAATTTTCACGGCAACTGCCCATAGCCTTCTTCTGAAAATCAATTTTTGGGTAGGTTGTGGGCCTGGGCCGCCCCCCTGGGGGCCATATATACTCGCTCACTCAGAGAGTAGAGTGGTAACCGTTCATACACGCTTATCAAATGCTTCCGTTTTAAAGAGTTCAAGCATCGACTTTGATCTAATTCGTGGTTCAATTGATGGCGTATTCTTTGGCTCAGTTGTTGGCGGTATGCATTTATCACTTGGTAGGCAATATCCCTGACTACTATATCCCGCACCTAGAGCAACACCACAGAATACATGCATTGAACGCTCGCACCCTACAGGCCATTTTTACTGCTATTCTTATATACATTATATTGTATTTCATTTATAGGTTATCATAAAAACAGATTAATCCACTTCTCTTGAAAGTATAGCAAGCCACATGTGAATTCCCACAGTAGTATTCTGGCCACATACTGCGAATAAGTTTCGAATCCAGTACAAAAAAGGTGAACAAAAAAGAGGTAAACTAAAAAGAGGTACGTCTGACTGTACATGTACATACATGTAGTATATATATTTAAAAACACAATAACCAGGACCGGAACGAAACACACAAAGGTGCTATCGGAATTCGTCGTCGGTCGATATAGCCATAACCATCTCTCCGACTATTTAAGTATGTGGCTAAACAGTTGGACAATGAAGCAAGATCACAGTTCACTTCCTATTCTTACAGAGAGGTTTATCTATTACTTATTGTGAAGGGTCAAGTTCACAGGTCAGATTGAGACGATGCAAAGGGAGCTTTGTTCTGAATAGCTAGTATTGTGTTTCGTGAGATATTATACGATGACATTTTTTTTCCTGTTTCCTGTTTCATTTATTCAAAGTGTACGGCGATATGCATTTTTTTTAGGCTTGAATTTATTTGTGTACAACGATTATGGTTTGTAATTTTTTCCTGTTATAAGTCGCACATAACACCCCCATGTACATAATCCCGCTCTGGCATCGACTTCACGTTATATTTCCCAAAACCGCTTCAGCAGTCACAGCATGACAACATATCTCTAACGGCCCGTAAGTATAAGTGTAGTATATCTCATACATCAGAGTCCCGAAACTGTTGAGCTAGTTCGTTAGGTATAATATGTCGCATGTATCAGAGTCTCGAAACTATTGAACTAGTTTGTTAAGTGTAGTATGTCTCATACACTAGGGTCTCAAAACTATTGAACTAGTTCGTTGTGTAGTATATCTCATACAGCTGAGTCCCGAAACTGTTGAACTAGTTCGGCGTATCTGGCCATGACCACTTGTTTTGATTTTCATCCGGATCTGATCTCCTAGTTCTTTTCCTTTTCAATGAAATCTTGCTAGGGGTTTCGGGCATCTTTGCATGTTTTTCGTTAAGCATTTCTATTTGTTGGCGGAATTGTAGCTTCTTCCTATTGGAGGCTTTCTCATTGAGGATTCTGTTTGCTTCTTCCCGTGCTTGGCGCTCGTCCAACTCTTCCTCATACCTTGCTCTCTGACTATCCACATCGGTTTGCGCCGCCGCGATCTTCGCCGTCCCGTTATACGCAGGGTTATACCACACTTTGTCGAGGTCATCGCCCATACCCAGAGCATACAGTTCTCGCCAAATCTCATAGTATGCTAGAAGGCAAGTAGTATTCTCCAAATTTGGAGTGGGCATGTTTATCTCTTGTTGTAGCTCCTGATAACTCGCCAAGCGGCCCGGTTTTTGCATTCCTATTGGTAAGCAACTGAAATGAACGGAAAAGTAATGGTTTACCCCCCGGTCTCTTATCACCCGCACACGAGGATATACACTCACGTGCTTGCCAATCGTATGACGCGTTCAATGCGTGCCATACGTATCCCCTGTGTTGGGGCAGTTGCAACTTGTCAGCTATACGATCTGCTTCGTTACGATCGTGTGTACTTGCCCTGAACCAAAACTGGTCTTCAACTTGCAGAGGCATAGTGGTGATGTCATTGCGGGTGGTCAATCGCAAGTATCGCAGATACTCATCATCCCAATTTTGGGCGTCTCGTGTGTACATATCTGTGATTCCTTTCGGATCCTGAAAATTGTTCAAGGGAATGATATTATTGAACACGTATCGATAGTTCACGGATTTCGAGTCCGATATGTAGTGGGATAGAGGACAACTACAGCGAAAGGCATACTTTGTATCACCATTGTCGACTCTATAGTAGCACAAATACAATATGAGCAATTCATGTACGGGTTTGAGCAGAACGCCCACTACCTGATGGCAGCAAGTCGCCCAACACTTCGTGCGAGTAGAATGGGGCAAACACCGCACCCGATCATCACGTTGAGTTTCATGTGTGGAAACGCATGCAACGAACATTAATCTATGGCGCCGTGTTTGCTATTTGCACGCAAATCCCAATAGCAGAATGCACCTGACGCCTATCCGACGATCCTGGGAAGCCTGGAGTTCTTTGTTTAAATTTCTTAAAGAGGGCGTTAACAGTGTCAAGGTCTGTCATTATCCAGGGTTGTTTCTTTGACTGAAATTTGAGCCTAGGATCTGTTCCGTTAATTAAGACCTTAACGTTATGATGGAATGCTTTGCTTGGTTCGACAACCCATAGCGCGCAGACATGTGCGTGCCCTCAGATGCTACACAGCACCCTTGATTAGTAGATGCCGTAAACATGGGATAGAAAGTCAAATGGTCCAAATTCTTCAAAACCATCGTATCAGTGTCCAGGAGTACTACCTTCTCATACTGGTGCATGCCAAATACGTTCACCTTGTTAAATGCCAAGCCCCACCAAACCGTTTGTTTGAGTGTGCTCATCGGTGCTTCGACTCGCGGGCTGAACTGAAATCGCACGCCCATGCGCTGGAGTGCGGTGATATAAACTGTGGAAATGATCTGCGACGGATGCACCGGGTGCAGACTACCACACTCATGCACCAACCCCTGTTTGTCCGTGTAACCCTTGTTTGCGTTACACTCATCACTGCCAAGTCCACCAGCCGATAACAGCATCACGATATCCATTCCCGCACACGTGTTCACTCTACGCAAACCAGCCACCAACGAAACAGCTAAGCGTGCGTACTGGTCCCCAGACACGAGTGCTACTATTGCATGATTGGATCTGGGCGTTATACTCCACAGACCATCACCAGCACTCTCAAAATCCTCGTGTTTGATGGAAGTTTCTTCGCTTGCGTGGTAATAGCTAAATTTTTGCATGTAATCTGTAGTTGTGCTGTTGAAAGCAAGATGAGTTTACTATTACCATCCAATACGCTCATAAAAGATATCGGCTTAACGCATTGAAGCGCCGCTTGCAGGAGCCGCAGCTGGCCACAAGTGTCACATACTGACACTTGTGGCCTTCAACGCTAAGTTGAACTCACGGAACAGCCCACTGGTCCGCGATAGCACGATTCTCACTTGCCCAAAGGACATGCGACGTGTGTATATACGCAACCAGCGAGATATACAAGAATACCCATAGTTACATAAGTATATGTGTGTAAATACACAATCAACGAGATATACGAGAATACTTATAGTTACACCAGTATGTGCACATAGACACAATCAACGAGATATACATGAATACCCAGAGGTACACAAGTATGTGTGTGTATATACACAATCAACGAGATATACGAAAATAGCCATAGTTACACAAGTATGTGTGTATATATACACATTCAATGAGATATACGAGAATACCCATAGTTCACAAGTATGTACACATACACAATTAACGAGATTTATATGAATAACCATAGTTACACAAGTATGTGTGTGTATATGCACAATCAACGAGATATACATGAACCACCATAGATACACAGGTATGTGTGTATATATACACATTCAAT